ATAGCGGGCTTAAGGCCGTTGCTCCAGATGATGTCATTCAGGTATGATTTTGATTTGTTATAGAGGAGCACCATCAGTAGTTCATTACAGTTCTGTTTATCAGGGTGAGTTCCCCGATTTGTTGCTCCATTTATGGGTGCGTTTCATGATTTGCACTCTGTGTATTTGTTACCCTGTTGGAAGGTTCTGTGAGGATAGCCGTGTCTATCGTCTGGTTTTATTGATTATCGAGAGTTATGAGACTAGTAGTAAATTCCTATTGTCCATTTCGGTAGGCTTGATATGATTTCTGAGTATTTTTGGCTACGAGCTATGATTTTTATGCTCCACCGGTGTGGGAGCCAGTACTTGTTGTAATTTGTGGCGAAAATTGGTCTAGTGAAAGTTTTCAGCTGGTTTGATGTATATCCTACTTGTGATTCAGAGTTCAGGGTAAGACCCTCGTGATTTGATGTGTTTGAACCGGGTTGTGGACCGTGGTGGAAGTTATACCAGTATGAGATCCTTGTGAATCGTTCATATGCTTTAATTCTTTTCTTATTGTGTTATTTTGTAAGTTGGTACTGATAGAGAGTTGTGCCTGTCGGGCTTGTTTGATAGTTCTCCTATGTGTTTTTCCTTTCATATTCAGTTATTTTTGTTCCGTGTTTCTTGAATTTTAGCTTGCGGGGTATGTGTCCAGTGGTGTTGGTTGTGGCTTGTTGATTTGGGTGTTTGGTTATGAGGTCTTCATGTTCTTGCATCATCGTCAATGTTGTGGAGGTTTGGAACGGGTCCCTATTGAATATGAGGCTTAGGGCCGGTGCTGAATTTGGTTTCGAGCGAATATTGTGATCAACAATGTTACTATAGGCCTATGTGTGATGTGTCATGTTGTAAGGTTGTACTATATGGGTGTTGTCACGAATTGATGTAGCTGGTTGAGACTGATACAGGGTATGGATTTAGAATCGGGTCCTTGGAAATGGATGGAAGGTGAGAATTCTGGCTCTAAGGCTTATTGGTATTGATAGAAAGGCTAAATTTCAGTTGAGATGATGTCGTCAAGTTTATGTGGATTGGGATAACGTGGGACCACCCGCGGGTGTATGTTGGAAGTGTGCATTCAGCAACTTGAGGACTTCGAGGTGAATCTTGGCACGTTCGAGGACGGACGGTGGTTTTAAGAGGGGGAGGATGCAACGACCTGGCCGGTCATTTTAAGAATTTAAACTCCGTCGGCAGCGTAAGGTCTTGAACAACTTCATAATATGTGCATCGACTTGCGTGCATGGTTGAATTTAGTTAACGGATGATTCAGAGTCAAATTGCAAGAAGGAAACTAGTTTTGGAAGTTTAAACGGAGAGAATTTGACCGGAATTGGACTTTTGAGTAAACGGCCCCGGAATGGGTTTTGGGTGGTCTCAACAGCTTTGTATGGTGATTTTGGACTTAGGCGTGCGTCCGGATTCGGATTTAGAGGTCCGTAGGGTAATTTGAGGCGTTTCGGCGAAAGTTGAAAAAGTTGAAGTTTGGAAAATGGAGAAGTTTGACCCATAGTTGACTTTTGTGATATCGGGATCGGAATGCGATTCCGAGAGTTGGAACAGCTCCATTATGTCATTTTGGACTTGTTTGCAAAATTTGGCGTCATTCCGGGTTGTTTTGATCGGTTTTGGCACAAGTTTTCGAAGTTGGAAGATTTGGAAGTTCATAGCTCGATTCGTGGTGTGATTCGTCATTTCGGCATTGTTTGATATGATTTGAGACCTCGAGCGAGTCCGTGTTAAGTTATATGACTTGTTTTTGGGTGTAGACGGGGTCCCGGGGGCCTCGGGTGTGTTTCGGGTTGTATTGCGCTCTTATTTGATATTTCAACGTCGTTTCTTTGGGAATAAAGGGTACCACATTAAGCAAATGCGCTCCAAATTCAGTTTTTATTGAACCATTAGATCCGTATCGTAATTACGGAGCCATAACAAAAAGAATCATCGAATTTGGACATCGTATGAGGAAGTTATGCTCATTTTTGTGTCGGGAAAAATTGCTGCTTCTGGTATGATCGCAATTGCGAACATATCCAACGCAATTGCGATCCTTCCTTGTTCGCAATTGCGAAGGCTTTCTTCGCTTTCGCAAGGGTATCTGCAGCTTGTTTTCAGTTGTGTAACTCGAGTTTTTGCTCATTTTTCATATTCTTTGAACCCTAACTCCGAGAGTGGGCAATTTTGAGAGAAGATTTTCATACCAAATCATTGGGGTAAGTGTCTCTAATCAATTTCCAACTATATATTGTGATTATATCTTAGATTTAACATCAAATTCATGAGAATCTAAAGGAAAATTTGGAAAAAATTGTGAAATCTTTCAAAAATGTAAAATGATGATTTAAGGGGCCAAATGGTGTCGGAATTAGATAATTTTCGTATGGGTGAACTCGTATCGGAATGGGTATTCTATTCTTGTAAATTTTGTCGGGTTCCGAGGTGCGGGCTTGGGGAGTTGACTTTTGTTGACTTTTTGCAAATTGTATAAGAATCATAGTTTTGTTAATTGAAATTGTTTTCTCTTGCATTGTTTGATGTATTCAAATCGTTTTTGGCTAGATTAAGCCGAGCGTTGATGAATTGGTAAAGGAAAAGCTAAATTGAGTATTGAATTGGCCGGATTGAGGTAAGTATCTTGCCTAACCTTGTGTGGGGGACTTCCCCTTAGGATTTGAGTCTTCTATGTTGATTGTAGTTTGTGTACGCGAGGTGACGAGTGCGTGCTCGAACTTATTTGTGGAAAAATTGGCCTTTTAGGGTTCTTAGGTCTTTATATTCACTGTGTAGGAATGTGTTCTTGACATGACTGAGTTTCCTATTTATTTGTTTTACCTCTACATGCTTAATTGGAATTAATTGCTTCATGATTCACTCTTATTGCCTAACTGACTCCTAATTGATTTAACTGAAGAATTTCACCTCTCCTATTGTCATGCTATCTTTTCATAGTTGCTTATCTTATTTGAGAATTTTATTACCCCTCCTGAAATTGTTTAGTCTTAAGTGAAGCTAAGATCATCTTCCCTTAATTGAATTTTCGAATATCCTCAAAATTTGTCCAACCTTAAAAGGAGTTTTGATAATTTATATCTTGTTGACTTGCCTTTATTTGGGACTACTTGAATCGTGTTGATTTCCTTGTTATTGACTTGTATATTGTGGGATCGTTGCTACATGTTAGTTTTTCCATTGTTGAACTGTTCCCTTTATGCCATTATTCTTTTCTGTGGTTATTCCTTGTGAGCTGGTTCTACCGTTTCCTTTTGATTTATAGCCCTTGAGTTGATTTACTTGTCTTACCTTGTATTTCTATCATGTTGTGGTTATATGTATTGTGGTGATGTACGAGCTTTCTGTTGTGCTGTAAGTGTTGTTTCTATTGGTGGGCTGCGTATTTACTTTGGGACTACGGATCGGTATTCCGGGAGATCCCCCTGCATGTTTACTTTGGGACTACGGATAGGTATTCCGGGAGATCCCCCTGCATGTTTACTTTTGGGACTACGGGACTACACCCGGGAGATTTCCCTGCGCATTATGAGATGGACTACGGGATGACACCCGGGAGATCCACTGGATATTTATATTTGGGACTACGGGACGACATCCCAGGAGATTCCCTTGTACTGGATATTTACTTTGGGACTACGGGACGATATCCCAGGAGATCCTTTGCACATTTACGTTTGGGACTACGGGACGATATCCTGGGAGATCCCCCGTTAAAAACATTGTGTTCTGAGCTGATGATGTTTTCATCGATCCTATCCCTGTGTAAAACATTATAGGTGTTGTCCGTTCTATTCCTTATACCTACTAGTTGGTACGAACTATGTTAGGACAATTGCACAAGCATACACGTGGTTAATCACCCTTATCGGGTAGGAGGCTCTTTGAGATTTCTGAGTATAGACGCACACCCTTGTTATTTGCCTTCCATGTGAGAATGACTCTTTTGGGGCACATGAGTTGTCAGTATGATCAGGAGGTGTGATGAGGGCAGAGGATGCCAAGTGTTAGGGTTAAGGTATTGAGACCCGTATTGTATGATTATGAGGTGAGGTGTCACAGGGTGACTGATATGCGAAGGTTATCTATTTGAAAAGATTATATTCGAAAAGCATTTATTTTGAAAGAACTCTTTTTGAAAAGAACAATTATTTGAATGAAGTATATTTCGAAACATTTTTATCACTTGAAAGGTTTGGCTCTTTGATTGACGCTTGCTGGTTAAGACTTATGGTGAAAACTATCGGAGTTGTTGAGTTATGACTTGTCTTTACTGTATTTGTGATTTCGGATTTGGGTTGTATTCTCGCTTACCTTTCCGTATTTTCCTTATGGTGTTCCCCTGAGTACTTGCTGTTTTCTTTCCTTATTTTTAATTACTGTATTGTTAGCCGTATCGCATAGCCTCTATATAAATATCATGATCTGTATATTAGACTAGTAGGTGTCTTGATTGTTCCTCGTCACTACTCCACCGAGGTTAGTCTTGATACTTACTGGGCACCGTTGTGGTGTGCTCATACTACACTTCTGCACATTCTTTTGTGCAGATCCAGGTATTGTTCGCTAGTAGCTGTGCAGATTCTTGCCGAGGAGACTCAAGGTAGCCCCGCTGCTGCGTTCGCAGGCTTCGGAGTCACCTTCCTTTTTCATATTCACACTGTTGTACTTATTTCCATACGGTTGTGTTTAGAAATTATAGCGAAACTCTGTAGAGCTTATAACTTGTAGTATCGGGTTTTGGGAAGGTGTTCATGATGTAACCTATTTATTGTTGTTATTCCGCAATTATTAGGCTTACCTAGTCCTTAAGACTAGGTGCCATCACGAAACCCAACGGAGGGGAAATTGGGTCGTGACAATATGTGAGAGAACAGGAGCCAAAGAAAGAGTTCACCCCAATTGGAGAATCGTATACAAGCTTATTTCGAAAGTTGATGCAGTTGAAGTTGATCGAACCTATCATGTCACGTTATGTGAATCCAAATTTAAAAGGTTTTGACTCCAATGCAAGATGTGAGTATCACTCAAACACCCAAGGTCATAGTACCGAAAATTGTTGGACATTAAAGAAAGCTATTGAAAATTTGATTGAAGCAAAGGCAATTGTGGTGACAAATAATGAGGATAATCCTAATATCACAAATAATCCGCTCCAAGCTCATCATAATACACATTTTATTGGGATGATTTGTGATGATCGGGATTATAAGCAGTCTGGCAAGACAGAGATGATTGTTGGGACCATAGGCCAAGAGCCAAAAGTGGTAGTAAGCCCACCGCAATTGGCACCGTTGATTGTGAAAGGTGCAAGTTCTAGTTCAAGCATGGCAGGTTCTGAAAAAATGGTTCTCTACGTCCCTGGAAGCACAAAAAAGGTCGAGGTTCAATTGGGTGTGCCAAAACTTTACATCCCTGGGGGCATTCAAAAGATTGTTCCGAATAATGGTTTGAGAAATATAACAGAGCTAGTTGTGATCCGACATGTTGCACAACTCCCAGTTACAAACACAAAAGCTATTCCCTGGAATTATAACAAGACTGTTATGACATATAAAGGAAAAGAGATAGTAGAAGAAACAGATGAAATGGGAGGCTTGACCCGCTCTGGAAGGTTCTACTCACCAGAGGAATTGAGAAAAGCTAAGCAAGCCAGGGAAAGTCACTTGCCAGTGAAAGAACCCGTTGCAGAAAAAGAAGCGGAGGAATTCCTTAAGAAGATGAAAATGCAAGAATACTCAATCATTGACCAACTAAGGAAAACCCCTGCTCAGATATCTTTGTTATCTCTGCTTTTGCACTCGAAAGAACATCGTCGTGTGTTGATCAAAACTTTGAACGAGGCATATGTCTCAGAAAAGACAACAGTGAACAAAATTTCTTTCAGCGATGATCATTTGCCTGAGGAAGAGGCTGGGCACAATAAAGCTTTGCATCTTATGGTCAAATGTGAAGGGCATTACGTAAAAAGAGTCATGATTGACGGAGGCTCAAGTGTAGATGTATGCCCTCTTTCTACTCTAAAACAGCTGAACATTGACACTAATAGAATTCGAACTAGTAGTGTCATCATCAGAGCTTTTGATGGTTCAAGAAGAGACACTATTGGGGAGATCGAACTCACCATGACAATCGGCCCCGTTGATTATAACATTGTCTTTCAAGTGTTGGATATGAAAACTTCCTATAGTTTTCTTCTGGGAAGGCCATGGATCCATATGGCCAGAGCTGTACCATCCACCCTACATCAAATGGTCAAATTCGAGTATGACAGGCAAGAAATTATTGTTCATAGGGAGGACGACTCTTCCGCCTATAATGACCCGTCCATTCCATGTATCGAGGCCAAGGAAGGATGTGAATCCATCATATATCAAGCATTTTGAGGTGATTGAGGTGGACCAAGTGGAAGAAGGAAAACCAATTCTGCATCCCCGTCTTTCAGCCACATATATGATGGTAGCTTCGTTGATGCTGAGGAACAGTTATGAACCAGGAAAAGGATTAGGATCCTCTCTGCAGGGAATTGTGAACCCCATTGCTCCTTTTTTGAAGAAAGATACCTTTGGCTTGGGTTTTAAACCAATATCAGCTAACATAAACAGAGCCAAGGCGCGCAAAAAGAATGGTTGGAATTTGTCCAAACCAGTCCCTCACATTACTTACTCTTTTGCCAAGCCACAATTTGAAGAAGTCCAAAATCATGCTACTCAGGATGACATTGATGAAGTTTGTCAGGGTATCAAGGGGATGTTCTATGAGATCAATATGGTTCAAGTTGGTGAGGGCCCTAGCCGTGCAAGTGTTCAGCTGATTGGTCCAGATACCTTGCTCAACAACTGGGAAGCAACTCCGCTTCCCATCAGGAAGGAGTCTTGGTAGTCTGTTTTGTTGCTTTTTCTGTATTTGGATTTTTTAAAGGGTTGTAATCCAGATATTTTAGTTTAATTGCTTTGCTTTGATGTTAACCCTTCTATCCTTTCAAATTCAATGAAATGAAGTTCCAGTTTCATAGTAGAATTCCGTCTTTTCCTTTCCCTAATTTTTGTTAATTTCTCATCATTTTCAGTTTCGTTAATGCTGGCTTTAAAAACATGACATGTACGCAGAATTTATGCTCGGATCTTAAAAAGTTGTCTAATCTCGAAATAATGAATCAAGAAGTTGAGAATGATGAAGATGAGGATCTTAAGGAAATAAAAAGGGAATTGGATCAATTTGAGAATAAGCCTAAGCCTAACTTAAATGAAACTGAGGCAATTAACCTGGGAAGTCCTGAAGAAACCAGAGAAACAAAAATAAGCATTCATACTAAACAAAAGACGAGAGATTCCATAATTCAAGTTTTGTTCGAGTACGGAGATGTATTTGCTTGGTCGTATGATGACATGCCCGGTTTGAGTGCCGATTTAGTGGTCCATAAGCTTCCCACATACCCTAATTTTCCACCAATCCAACAAAAACAAAGGAAGTTTAAGACAGACATGAGTGATAAGATTAAAGAAGAAATCACAAAGCAACTAAGTGCAAATGTGATCAGGGTCGTCTGATACACCACATGGTTAGCAAACGTGGTGCCAATGCCAAAGAAGGATGGAAAAATCAAAGTTTGTGTTGACTGTAGGGATTTAAACAAAGCAAGTCCAAAGGACAACTTTCCCTTACCCAACATTCATATCCTTGTTGACAATTGTGCTAAATATGAGATCCAATCTTTTGTGGATTGTTATGCCGGATATCACCAAATTCTGATGGATGAAGAATATGCAGAAAAGACTGCCTTCACAACTCCATGGGGAACTTATTGTTATAGGGTCATGCCATTTGGTTTGAAGAATGCAGGGGCAACTTACATGAGGTCCATGACTACCATATTCCATGACATTATACACAAAGATATTGAAGTATATATTGATGATGTGATCATTAAGTCCAGAACACAAGATGATCATGTGCAAGACTTGAAAAAGTTCTTTAAAAGGCTACGAAGGTACAATCTCAAACTCATTCCAGCTAAATGTGCATTTGGAGTTCCTTCTGGGAAGCTTTTGGCTTTTATAGTTAGTCGAAGAGGCATTGAGTTAGATCCCAACAAGCTAAAGACCATTCGAGAGCTGCCTCCCCCGAAGAATAAAAAAGAAGTCATGAGTTTACTCGGGAGGTTGAACTACATCAACAGGTTCATCGCGCAGCTTACAACCACATGTGAGCCTATTTTCAAGTTGTTGAAAAAGAACGTCGCTATCAAGTGGACAGATGAGTGCCAAGAAGCTTTTGATAAGATTAAGGAATATTTGTCAAATCCCCCTATTTTGGTCCCGCCGGAACCTGGTAGGCCTCTGTTTTTATATTTGTCAGTAATGGATAGTTCCTTTGGTTGTGTTCTGGGTCAACATGATGCTACAGGCAAAAAGGAACAAGCAATATATTATTTGAGCAAAAAGTTCACCACTTATGAGGCCAAATACACTCTTTTGGAAAGGAGATGTTGTGCCTTAACCTGGGTCACTCAGAAGCTTGGGCATTATCTTTTGGCCTATACAACTTACCTCATATCCCGAATAGATCCCCTGAAGTACATCTTTCAGAAGCCGGTGCTAACTGGAAGATTGGCAAAGTGGCAAATCTTGCTCACAGAGTTTGATATTGTTTATGTCACTCGCACTACCATGAAGGCACAAGCTTTGGCTGATCATCTGGCGGAAAACCCAGTCGATGATGAATATGAATCTTTGAACACATATTTCCCAGATGAAGAGGTTAATTTAGTTGAAGACGTAGTCCAAGATGACAGTCAAATTTGGAAACTATACTTTGATGGGGCTGTCAACATCAAAGGCGTAGGGATTGGGCAATTCTTGTATCACCTACTGGGCAACATTACCCTGCCACCGCGCGACTTTGTTTCTTCTGTACAAACAATACGGCAGAATATGAAGCTTGCATCATGGGTCTGAACATGGCAATAAACCTAAATATGCATGAACTGTTGGTGATGGGAGATTCAAACTTGCTTATTCAGCAGCTCAAGGTGATTGGGAGACTCGAGACATCAAGCTCATTCCATATAGACAATGTGTGGAAGATCTTAGAAAAAGTTTCATGTCCATCGAGTTCAGGTACATTCCCAGGTTTCACAATGAATTAGTCGATGCCTTGGCCACCCTGGCCTCAATGCTTCCATATCCGGGTAATACTCACATTGACCCATTAGAAATTCAAATTCGGGATCAACATGGTTATTGCAATAAAATTGAAGCAGAACCAGATGGTGAACCATGGTACCATTATATTAAATAGTTTCTGAAAACAAGAGAATATCCGGAACATGCTAATAGGGATCAAAAGAGAACTATTAGGCGACTCTCTAATGGTTTCTTTTTGAGTGGGAAATCCTATACAAAAGAACCCCAGATTTGAATTTATTGAGATGTGTGGATGCCAAAGAAGCTGAAATGATTATGAATGAGGTGCATTCGGGAGTTTGTGGTCCGCACATGAATGGATATGTTCTAGCAAAAGAATCCTTCGGGCAGGATATTATTGGCTTACTATGGAAAGAGATTGCTTTCATTTTGTTCGCAAGTGCCACCAGTGTCAGATTCACAGTGATTTGATTCACTCTCCTCCTTTAGATTTATATCCTATGTCGGCTCCTTGGCCTGTTGTTGCTTGGGGAATGGACGTCATTGGACCAATCGAGCCAAAAGCTTCAAATGGGCACAAATTCATCTTGGTTGCAGTTGATTACTTCACCAAATGGGTGGAAGCTATTACATTGAAGGCAGTCACCAAGAAAGCAGTAGTAAATTTTGTTCACTCCAACATCATCTGTCGTTTCGGTATTCCAAAAACCATTATTACAGATAATGTTGCTAATTTGAATAGTCATCTGATGAAGGAGATATGAGAACAATTTAAAATTGAGCATCGCAATTCTACTCCTTATCGACCCAAAGCTAATGGAGCTGTTGAAGTTACGAATAAGAACATCAAGAAGATTCTTAGGAAGATGGTCCAAGGGTCTAGACAATGGCACGAGAAACTGTCTTTTGTTCTTTTGGGATACAGGACAACTGTCCGTACATCAGTTGGCGCAAGACCCTACTTATTGGTTTATGGCACTGAAGTGGTCATACCTGCGAAGTTGAGATTCCCTCTCGCCGAATCATTGTTGAAGCAGGAATCGAGGACACTGACTGGGTCAAGTCCCGATTGGAACAGTTGAGTTTAATTGATGAAAAGCGTTTGGCGGCAGTTTGTTTTGGTCAGTTACACCAATAAAGAATGGCACGCGCTTACAATAAGAAAGTGCGCCCAAGAAAATTTGAGGTAGGACAGCTTGTTTTGAAATGCATCTTTCCGTACCAGGAAGAAGCAAAAGGAAATTTTGTACCGAATTGGGAAGGCCCTTACCTCATCAAGAAAGTATTGTCAAAAGGAGATCTACACTTGGCAAATATAGAAGGAGAGGTGACTGATATATATGTCGATGCAGATGCGGTCAAGAGATACTATGTCTGACACGCTTCTGTTGGGGCATTTTTTATATACTTAGCATTCTCAGGTTGGGATGGCGAAAGGCTATCATTCTGTAACGACCCGGCTGGTCGTTTCATGAGTTACCGCTCCGTTTCCCCTATTTCTGCTTCTTTATGCTTTGGTCATCTGTATTATGTGGTGTCGGGTTAGTCGGTTCGAATCCGGAATGGTTTTGGGAAAGGTTTGAGACACTTAGTCTCTTAAGTTGGTCTTTAGTTGGAAAAGTCAACCGGAAGTTGACTTGTGAGCAAATGATCCTGGAATTTGGGTTTTATGATTCGGATAGCTTTGGGTGATGATTTGGGACTTAGGAGAGTGATCAGAATGTGTTTTGGAGGTCCGGAGTAGATTTAGGCTTGAATTGGCGAAAATGGATTTTTGGCGTTTTCCGGTTGATAGGGGAGATTTTGATATAGGGGTCGAAATGGAATTCCGGAAGTTAGAGTAGGTCTGTTGTGTCATCTGTGACGTGCGTGCAAAATTTCAGGTCATTCGGACGAGGTTTGATAGACTTTTTGATCAAAAGCGAAATTCGGAAGTTTTTGGAGTTCTTAGGCTTGAATCCATGGTTCATTTGATGTTCCATGTTGTTTTAGGTGTTTCGAAGTTTGGATAGTGGTGTATGACTTGTCCGTATTTTTGGTTGAGGTCCCGGGGGCCTCAAGGTGATTTCGGATGGTTATCGGAAAGTTTGGAACTTGAAAGTTGCAGCTGAAGCTGCTGAACCTGTCATAACCATACCTGCGAATTGGGGACCGCAGGTGCAGGCCCGCAGAAGCGGACGTGAAGTCGCAGATGCGGTTAACAGAGGGAAAGGGTGGAGCCGCAGAAGCGGAACTTTGGGCGCACCTGCGATAGCGCAGGTGCGAGAATTTGATTGCAGGTGCGGTGGCTGGGCGGATAAGTGAAATCCGCAGATGCGCACCTGGGACCGCAGGTGCGGGTCCGCAGGAGCGATAATTAGACCGCAGATGCAGTTTTACTGGGTCAGAACATGTATATTTCACCCTTCGCGAATTGGGTTATTTTTCATAACATTTCAAACGGGAAGAAGCTTTGGAGAGCAAATTCAAGGGAGAATTCAAGAGGGTTTCTTAGAGGTAAGGTCCTTGATCCCTAAACTCATTTTTTTTATGATATTTAAGGTTGTAAGCTTGAAATCTATGGGAAATCAGTAGCGAATTGGGGGTTAGGGCTTGGAAAAAATTGGAGACTTAAAATTAGGGATTTGAGGGGTCATTTGTGGTCGGATTTTGGTACTTTTGGTATGAATGAACTCGTGGGGGAATAAGGATTCTATTGATGAAAATTTTGTCTGATTCTGAGACGTGGGCCCGGGG